AAGCAGATAGGACGTGGTTAGAAGACCATTTTCCTAGAAAATTGGAGTTTGTGATCATTTTCTGATTTGGAAATTATCAGTTCTCAGCTCTGCAGCTGTCCTCAGTGGGTGTTAACAGCATCAGTGATGCTGGTACTACATCATTCTTTCACTCTTACTACTAATATTAGTAACGATTCTAGTAGGACTCTCATTGATATTCAGGCCCCAGCATTGGAAACCTCCTTTCAGTCTTAAGAGACAGAGAAATGCATCCAGAAATAACTGCAGTACTTCTTGACAACCACCTCTGAGCCCTTTTAGCAGTAGTACTTCAGACTTTTTCTTTACTGATTGCTCCCAGCAGACCAGTTTGTGTGCCTTGGCTACCTGGCTGTCAGAAGCAGGCAGAATAGAACAAAACCTTCACCACAAAATCAGTTAGGTGGGGCCAGTCTCAGATGCCAGTAATGGTACTGGCCTCTCCCATCTCTCTTGCAATAAAGACAACCAATTCCTGTTTCTTGCTAGTGTTTTACAGTGAGAACTGGCACCCAGCATAGCTTATGTCACTCTAAAAAATGCCTTCCTGAATGTGAACACATGTCTCAGGCAGTATTGGGGAGCAACTCCCTCACCACCAGCTGTAGCTGACAGTCTCTCAGCTGTTAGAGATTCAGACAGGTCCCTTAGCTCATGGAGTCAGTGGAGCTATGAGCCACCCTCTCACAAGTCTTCCTCCATCCCAGTAGTGCTGGCAGCACCAAGTTGGGCAGGGATGTCTTAAGTGCTTTGGCAAACCAGTTTCTCCTCTCAGTCCATCCCCAGCCAAGCAGAGCTGGTCTCTGCGTTTGTGCTGTTGATCAGCAGGGCAAGAGCTCGAGGTCTCCTGCAGGGCAGGGGTCTTACCAGCTGTGTGAGCACCAACACACTGGGTGAGAGACTTATTTCTGGAGCCACAAATGGTAACCCTTCCCCAGACACCACGTTCCTGGTTTATATGGAGAATAGTTTGTAGATGAAAAACGGATTACAAAACTGGAATGAAAGCTAAGTAAGTGTCTCTGCTAAAGACAGATCAGAGGTTGAAAAGGTGTCTGTACCTTTTTGATGGGGAATCCTAGCAATGTCGTGTTCCTCACACACAGTCTAGGCATGCCGACAGAGACAATGTTGCTGAACCGTTGGATCTCATGAACCACAGCATTTGTGTAAGGCAGTTCTCTCCGATCCTTGTAGCAAATTAACTGGGAAGGACCCAAAACAGCATCCAGCTCCTTCTGAACTTTTTCTGTGGAGAAATATTCACCATTTCAGATGGGAAAAATCTTTTAACTGGTGTCTTTTCTTAGAGCAACAGGAAAATGTATTATTTCAACATAGTACATTACTATAACCTGTGATGTAATATGATTTAATGACTGAGTTTAATATATGAAAATTAAAAACAAAACCAAAACCAACAGTGGGGTCCAGAATCATAAGCAAGGGCTTATACTGATTCCAGCTCTGACATTTATGTTATAGAATGCTTGGTGGATGTAGGGTGGGTCACTCAGCTCCAGGTTTTGAAGGTATTTAGGGACTGCTTGGTTTACTTTATCTCAAAATCTAAATCTCATTTGAAAAATTAACATAAATGCCTCAGATATTAACTCCCAGTCCAAGGGATGAGTTGAGCAGAGTTGGTCCAAGTATGGCAACATACTGTATGAACAAACACCTGAATCAGCCTAAAACCTGCAAATATGCAGTGACACAGCCTTTTCAGCTTCCTACTGAGGCTGTGGGAATACAGGCATCTTCCTTGCTTTCAGTGCTCAAGCACACTAGATGGAAGAGCCACCAGCCCCAGACGTACCCAAGTCCTCCTTAAATCCTGGCCATAACCTTTCTCTTACTGACACAGGTGTGGATGAGGAAACTCAGCCTGGATCTACAGAGGCATTTATGGAATTGATGTTAGTTAGATAAGCAACTTCTTCTACAATATTAACTCAGACAGGGACAGTTTGTGTGTACTGCCAGCAGTTCTTGCCTGTAAACATCACCTCTACACATCAGGCAGCCAGAATCCTCCCATTAAACTTATTTTTCTGTTTCTACAGTCTTTCCATCCCTTGCAGATGTTCCACATTCATGTTTGGTTTTCTCCTAAAATTCATGTGCTGCTTTGTGAACAAACTGCAACAAATTTTACTGGTTATTTAAAGACCATCGGCCAATTACACACAGAATATGCTCTACTGAAAACTTGAGGCCACCCCTGAGTAACCCATCTGCTGTGGCTGCTCACTGCCTAGCCTTGTGCATGAAGCACTCAGCAAAGACAGAGAGGAGTCACTGCATTCTTCTAGGAAACACGTGGATTTGCACTGTGCAAATTATCTTGAAATTCTCCACCTGTTTTCTGACAAGAAAGATAGAGGAGGAAGCAGCCAACTCTACCAGGACCATGGGCCTTCCTTTGGGCAACCTACAGCCCTTCACAACCTGCCAAGATCTGTTCAGCTGGTTTGTCCAGTAAGGGATGCAGTGGGTTGTGAGGAGTATTGGTGTGCTCAGCACGGAGCGTTGTGCCAGGAGGGGAAGAGAGCATAGGCTGTGTGGCAAATACAGCAAAGCTGTGTTAGCATTCCTCATGCCTGAACAATGCCTGGTGCAGACAGGTCTCATATTAGAGCTCTGATCTCTGTCCTGCTGCCATCAGTCAGCCTGCAAACTCTCCACACAGAGCACTTCACCGACTTGTCACTGCAAAGAGCTAACTTTTGTCTCACTGCAAGTGCCTTCAGCCACCTGGTTTGGTCAGGTCATAGGATGGGCCTCTGATTTTTATCTCTGCTACCATTCTTTGTGTTTTCAGAGTGAGAGACAGGCTCTACTAGTGGCTTTTGTGCCTGCAACTCATCATATTCAACCATCATTAACACTTATAGTACACACAGCATTTCACAGCAAGAATCCCTCTCACCTTGGATGTCTGGATTCACTACCATAAAGAGCAGTCCCCAGTACAATGTTGTGCTTGAGGTCTCTGATCCACCGAGGAAAAGATCATTTATAACATACACCAAATTTTCTTCATCATGCTTGGTCTTGACCCCATCTTTATACTGTAGATGATGATAAAAAGTTGAAGTTAAAGCATAAAAGTTAGGTCATCCTTTATGCCTCCTGTATGAGAGTCCTTATTTCCACAGCTGGCATGTACACAAAGAATATTCAAAATTACATTTTTTGATGAGTACTAAGAGATTAATAGTTTCCCAAATGGACATGGTAAGTCTGCATTCCTTTTTTTCATGATGTGGAATATTCTTTCATTAAAAAACAGGCAGTTTTATGCCTGTTGGCTTAATCATAAAAACTTTAAAGCACACTACAAATTCTGCAGTTAGCCTAGAGTGTACTTACTTCTAAACAAGTGCCACACAATGTGTCACTCATTAGGGCTTGGTCTCTCCAGTATGCTATCAAATAGTGCTAACACATACCAAAGGAAAACATATCTGAATAAAAGGATCTCAGCAGAACACCTTTCTTCACTCAGTTCAGGATAGATGTGAACAGGTGAGAGAGAGGTACTCAAGTATTTTCTTCTTATAATAAGTGAATATAAAAACAATTAGAGAAAATGCATTAGGTAAAACCATTTAAAAATAAACAGCTTGTAATAACTTGCACCCCTGACACCAGAGAAAGGTGCATCTTTGCCTCTAAGATGCTCATTTTAGTAAATCTTGTCATACTCATTCAGATATTATGTACAAGGGGATGTGTCAGCTCCTTCCAGAGCCCATGAGCCAACACTGTGAGAACATGGCAGCCTGACTAGCTGAAAGCTTATGACCAGAGGTAGAAGCTACATAAACTTCATCTACTCTAGGAAGGAGATGCTTCTTTTAGCTCCCCAAAATATCCCAAAATGACTAAGTTTGAAGCAGCAATTCTGGTGCTCTTAGCAGAGTCTCTCTGGTTCATGAGACACTTCCTGCTATGGAAAATAATAACCTGGGCAGGGAAGAAGATTAACAGCTTATTATGGAATAGTCTGTGAAGCTGTTTCCTTGGGCGTCCAACTTGAATATGAGTGCCAAGCCAACCATGCCCAGACTGTGGGGAAATTAGAAGTAACACAAGCAGAACAGACTGGGGACCTCTTAATGCATCCCATTTAGGACGTACTGATGACAGCAACTATCTGCCAAGAAAGCTGGCAGGTATGATGCACAAAATACCTGTTCTAAGGTTAGTCAAAGGATCAGGTAGGCTGGGATTGCTGAGGTGCAACTGCTGAAGGGGACTGGGCTGGAGGTGGAACAACTCTTTTTGATGCTGCAGGAATGATACTAAGGGATTTCAGGATAGCCTGGGAATCCTTTAAAGAGTGGAGAATCTCCTCAGACCAGGATCTAAAGAGAGTTTCCAGTAAAGGGAAGATCCTCCACAAATTATTTCCTCCCAAGGAAGGGACCACACAGCTGTGTGTCACAAGGACAGGCAATGTTAGGGGGCACACTGAAACCCAAAGTAGTGTGTCAGCTCTTTCAGCATAATTATCAGTGCATGCGTATTTAATCCCATTGTAAATGTGAGGCACCCTGCTGTAGAAGATAGGTGGTCTACCAAAGTTATGTAAGCTACAGGCATAAACTGTCTCTGATTTACTGCAGGATTCAAGTATACACATGGATATTTATAAGAAGCAGATGATAGCTCCTAAGTTCATACCCTAACATTGTGGTAATTCATTAATGTAACCAAAATATAGAACTGGATGCCCTTCTGGGAGACGAGAGTTAGTAAGTCCCAAGTTACTGTATTTACATTAGGAAGCCTATGAAATGTAAGAAACTATGATAGGAGGGATCAGACTGGATGATTTAATGATCTGTTTGGCCTTATACTCCGTAAGTGTGATTAGGCAGAACAAACACTTACTTTCTTCATCTCAACCAGGTAAAAGTCAATGAAATCCTGTGGTTCATCTGGCATTCCTCTCTCCACATGTCTTCTGATCTCCTTCCTTGCAAAAGAGCTCAGGACCTCATAGCAAGACAATGCTTTTTTATGAGGACCAGGGAGATGGCACATCAACCAGGGTAAGATTTCATACAGCTGTGGGAGTGACATACGAGAGGGAGTGTCAATTATCTGTCTGTAACAAAGCTGCTTTTAGAAACGCCAAAAGGCTGAATTGTCCTGTCTGGAAACGCTGGTAGTGGAATAAACCAATAAGCATTGCTTAGAGTAGATTTTTGCCATTATGTGGGAAAACTTTACTAGTAATTTTGACACATTTCTGGGGGTCAAGTTAGTATTGACAGCACTCTGCTCATGCCAGTAAATTTACATGACTCATGCAGATTGCTAGAGAACCTTACTCCTGCACAGTTGGAGACCCTAGCTCCCACACACTAAAATGTAAGGACATCCTTTCTGGGTACTGTGTGGCTACTAAGATTACGTGTCTGCAGCCATCAAGTAACTGGTGGAATTTGTGGAGCTCACAGAAGGAAAGTGTAGACTGCATATCACTAAAAACTAATTTCATTTTCCCCATCAGAATCCTTGTGACTGCTACAAGACCAGTAATTGTTCTGATGGTTAGAAATACTACATCTTCAGTCTGCTGAGTGTATTTATACACACATTTGTCAGCTCAAAGTATTGTCCTCTAGACTGGATAGTTCTCTCTGCAACATCTGTCATTCCATCCTGCCAAGCAAACAGCATTACTATCTCTTCTCCTTGTTCTTTCAGATCTTCTCTCTAATTTGAAGTGATAGTCTGTAGGTCATCCCATTAACATTTCTCTATGTTTGTTTCACTCCAGACTCACAACATAAAGTGTCAAAGACCCTAGAATAGGTCCACCAGATTATTACACACCAGAACCTACTTTAACACTTCTCTGGATCTAAAGGGAAAATAGTGTTGGAAACAGTCTAAGATTCTGCTTTGCCTTTTTCATCCTGTTATCTAGTAGTTTACACCAGTCTCTTTCCTCTTAACCTTTGCACTGAAATGTTCAAACTCGTAGCAGATATTAATCTCATTAATTCCTAATATGTTTAATAATTTAATTTTGTACTATTACAATTTGTCTCATTCTTAGAACTTCAGTCCATAGTACTTACAAGCTCTTGCAGCAGGATATCCTGAACCTCCTCTGCATTGTTAAGGTCTCCTGGCTTTGATCATCCACAAATTTAATCTGTTTCTCTACTTTCTACTATGGGAAATTTGTATAGTGCTACCCTCATACGATAGATTTATTGAAAAAGTTCATCATCATTTTAGTTTGTCTTTTCTTATAAAACTCAAATGTCAATGGAATTTACCATGCCATCCACAGCCCCTATTACACCCAGCTTGTCCCTCTTTAAGGGTCTAAACCACAAAGTCTAATCCATGGGGAAAACTTCATGTGCACTTCAAGACACTTCAAGTGAAAAGTTGGCCTTTATGATATGATAATTGCTGATACCTGTTTTTGGAGAAGTAACTAGAGGTAAGAGAAGCAGCACTGCAGAGTTCAAATTTATTACAAACTCCAGTCTCAAGTTTAAAGGTTTCTGTTAACAGTCTCAGAAATGCTGAAAAACTTAAAGCCAGGAGTCAACAGAGAGATGTCCCCTAAACTTGCAAAGAAACAAGAGACTTCTTAAAAATGGCCTCAGAACCAAAGAGGCAGTAATAAGGGCCCCAAGGACACCTCTTAGCTCCCAGTTTGCATTTGTTAGCTGCTCTGTACATAGTGAAGACCCTTTTTTGTATCCAGGCTTTAATTTTCTACCTATTTCAGACTTTTAAAAATGCATATTATTTACTCACCTGATAAACAAAGCTTCCTAGAAATTTGAATAAATACTCCGTGGCACTGATCAGTTCATGGAAGGTTTTGTCCTCATCAGAGAAGTGATATCCAAAAACCACAGCACAAATAACATTTGAAATAGAATGGAAGAGACGGAAAGAAGGATCCACAGGTCTTCCTGCAAACACAGTAACTGGTATTCACTCTTAATGTTTTCTTCAGGTGTTCCTTATACAGATAGGACAAGATGTTATTAGAGATTACATAAAATGTTCTCTTTATCCAGCTGGGGCATGAATGGAGATAGACATGTGGCATTAATATGTATTCATCAAAATAAAACATAGTGTTAGAGCAAAGGACACTGCTAAATTTTTTCCCATAACTCTAAAAAAATCTCATAGCTCTTCCTATGAAATAACATTGTACAGCTGAGATCCTTTAGAAGATATCATATCAAATCTGCTGTCCTTAGTTGTTTGGAAGAAGAGAAGTCAGAATGTGAGAAGGAAGAAATGTCACTGGAGATGAACTAAGACAGTGACAGACATGTTCAAAAATGTAAAGAACTACTTAGAAGGAAATACAGAAGGAACCTGGGAAGGTTTAAGAAGAATAGATGGATAAGAACTGCTAAGTATACATAATAAAATTGTTAGTCTCAGCTATGAACAGTAGAACATCATATCTTTGAGGACTTTAAGTTATGAGACAGACATTCATCAAAAATTCTTTGTATTGAAATGATCCTGGCTTGGACTCCAGGATGAAGCTGATAATCCACTGAAGTTCCCTTCCACCTCCTACTTTCTTTGATTATCTTAACAATAGTTATTAGCCAGACAGACACTAAAATATGCACTTGACTTGCCAATGGCACCTAATGTCATTGAAATTCAGAGAAATGACTCTGCAGTACTCTTTAGTTACTTATTGTGGGCAGTCTGTGAATGACTTGGCTGTGCAGTTCAGTGACATCATATCATTGTACAGTCATATCATAGACAAATGATAAGCCCATGGAAGTGGAATTTCAGAAGTTCCCAACTTCATTGGGTTTTTGAACAGCTTTTTAAGAAAGAAATTACCACTTGTGATACTATGGTCTATCTGCTCTTTGGGCTTTTGTTAAGTTTGGATACACCACTCTGGACCTACCCTGACCCTAGGAAGGGGTAGTTTTGTATACTGAAGATACAGATCCAGGACTGAAAAGTGTCTGACTTCTTATCAGATAGATACCTTTTAGGTTCAAAAAGAACTCCACAAGGTGAGAGGCCTCCTCCTGCACTCGATACTCCAGGCCTCTTTTCCCCATTCCCAGACTGCGTAGAGTTGTTATACCGAAGCGTCTCTGCTGCTTCCAGTGGCGACCACTTGCCAGTATAATACCTGAGGGTATTACCTGGTGTATTAGTATTTGCCACAGACACAAATTATTCATTTAAAAGTATATTATAAAATACATAGAGTAAATCAGGGAATACACTGTGATACAGGTATCTTTAGGTGAAATTATCAGTAACAAGAAATCATAGCCAAACATACCTAAATTATAACTAGATCACATGTTCTTAATATTGTTTGTACTTAATCTTTGAAAAGAGAAATCTGAGGATTTGCTCACTGCTCCAGTTCTTGATGTCTTAAAAAAACACTTTAAGATGCCTTTTCTGAAGATCTGCTTTAGCCATACTCAAGTGGTCATGCTCAAGACAGAAATAACTGGATGAATTTCTAAAGAGTGGTATATGGGGGCAGGGTATGTTTATGGAGATATATATCAATTAATGTGATGCTTGTAGGTTGAAGTGATGAAGGTGAAGGATAAGCGACATTCATGCCCTGTTTCTCCTGTGGAAGGGAGACCACTCCACTGACTGATAAATTGCACTAGTGGTTACCAGAAGAGCCCTGAACTGCTGCTGTGATGGTGATGCTTTACCTAGCTTTAAACAATCTGTGTTAGCTTTGGTATAGCAAATGCAGGAGGGCAAAAAGAAAAGACTGTAAACTGCTTAAATACACTGAGAAGAAGTGGTTTTTCTCACAATCGAAGGGTATTCACCAAATATTTAAGAGTGGCTACAAACACAACAATGAGACTTCTGAAGGAGGGTGTTACAGGTCTCCTGCTCACGATGGAAGGTGTTTGGCAACCGTAATATATACGGTTACCAAACATATAAACAAGCTTTGCATTCATGTAACATACAGCAAAATCATGTGCAGCAAATTGGATTATTCTGCAAGGAGGGGAAGATCGCTGAGTTCTGAGCAGGGATCACACATACATCTTGAACACCACAAAAAGGTCACCTAGAAACAATCTGGAGTGTTTCCCAGACTTGAGGAAGCTCTGTACTAAAGGCACCACAGCAAATAGTAAGTTACTGTCAAGAGCTAATGGAGGACTTGGACAGTATCTGATGGAAGAGCATTCTGATGGGATGGTAGAGGATCTAACAAGGCAGAGTAGTTTGCCAAGTCAATGTGCCTGTGAACTATCTATGCAGGAAAATCTCACCTTTTCCTTTGGCTAGTGCTCTGAAGAAAGGCGATACCATCCGCCCAGAAACATCTTCAGGGTGCGTAGTCATGCCATCTTTCACTGCCTGATACCCATTCAGTATGATCACTGGGGTCCACCCAAACCACAAAGTATATATGTTACCATGAGTTTTTGCCAGCTGTAAGTGGAAAAGGTGCCAGTAAAGAACATATGAAACCTCAAATAGACAAATAGACACTGCATCTGCTATTCACTGGCCCAGTGGCCAGTTTTTCTTGGTGAGAACATCATCCCCATATGAATATAACTAGAAGTAGAAAGGGACTGTTGGTTTTCTCAGAACAAGGCTTTCAGCAGCCAATTTTATTTACCAGGGTGAAGTTATTTTCTTTTCAAAGCACAGGCTGCATACAGCAAAAGAAGGAAAACTGTATTTTACGTTGCATCCCACCCAGCCCCAACATTTGTACCTCATTAATTGAACAGCCACACTCTGCACCTCTCTGGGGCTCTGTGTCTCCAAGCTAGTCCTTCCTTTGCAAAAGGAAACCAACTCATTAAACCAGCTCCATCTGTGTGCTCCACAAGAGAAGGTGGAGCCAGAAAGTAGTCAACAGCCATGAAGGGCCAGGGGGTTGCAGCTGAGGCCAGAGTTTCCTCACAGTACTGAAGAGAGCACTCACCATCTGAGACAGCAGAGGTATCCAAGCAGGGACAGATGTATGACAGAGGAAATTCAATCATTTGTGGAAAAAGCTCTGTCCAAGAAT